GAACATTTTTGTCTCTTGGCATTTTTTTCCAAAATGCTTTCCCTTCCTGCTAGAGCGCTTGCAAAAAAAGTCGTAAAATACGGAAAAAAAGCGATTTTCCAGTCGAAAATTTGCTTATGCTATAACTCCGTCAAATCAAATGTTAATGAGCTTAAATTTTTGCCAGAGCTGTCTTGCTATGAGTACTACCCAAGATAAAAATTTAAACTTGTTTGAATTAAGCGTTCTCCAGAAATAGTTTATTCTTTAGACATAGACAAAACGTCATCGGCCATTTTGCAAAGAGGTTTTTGCAACCGAAGATGGTCCGTTTGAAGGGTTCTCTACAGTTTCGTGAAGTAGCCCCAGAGTACTACCGTGAACCGTCGTCGAATTTTTGGTGAAATGATGGAAAACACTCGGGAGCTTCTTGTCAAAAACGTCCACATCACCTCGGAAAAACCTGAAAATGTTTCTTTTAAAATCCGTTGAATTATATAGCATTCGACGCAGATTTTCGTTCTACATCTGAATATGTATAAATGAAGGTTTCACAGTGCATAGAAAAGGAGAAAAACGCCAAAAACTTCGGATTTTCGAGGGTTTAGAAAAGTTTTCGGGAAATATTTTTCCCAAGTTGTCTTGAAAGTCAGCCACTTCCGTCAACTAAACAATTCTTCTGATTTAACAGCTCCATGCAGAATTGAATTATCTATCGATCTCCGCAAACCGCCGATTTTTAGCATTAAAGTTTGATTTTTCAGAGATGTTTTTCCGAAGCCCTCGATATTTTGCCTTTGCAAACTTTTCGGAAAACAAAAAGGCATGGACTGGAAAGAGAATTTTATGCGTATTTCGAATATGAACTTTGTTTTGAAATACACCCTTTCCTCCGTCGGCGGCAGCGAAATCGTTTTCGACCAACTTTTAAAATTATATAATTCTAAAAGTTGGTAAAAAAGAATTGCATCCATAGAGTAAAGAAAAGGGTGTATTTCAAAACAAAGCTCATATTCGAAATACGCATAAAATTCTCTTTCCAGTCCATGCCTTTTTGTTTTCTGAAAAGTTTGCAAAGGCAAAATATCGAGGGCTTCGGAAAAACATCTCTGAAAAATCAAAATTTAATGCTAAAAATCGGCGGTTTGCGGAGATCGAAAGCATTTTGGAAAAAAATGCCAAGAGACAAAAATGTTCAGGACACATTTCTCTGTCTGGTCTGATAATTTGAGAAAAATCTGTGATGATTCATTGAGCAACTTTGTTCGTCCCTATCGTGCACTGCCTTCTATATAATTAACATGGAAAGTATGAGTGATTTTACGGCTATTTTTCTTCCAGACTCTCTCGAAAGTGTTTAACAACTTTTTAGAGAGTACATGAGGTCAAAGTTCATAGTTAGACTCCCGAAAAAAATGAAATTTCTCTTCACTCTTCAACACTGTTTAACTGCTGCTTTGGATAATGTGGATTAAAAATTAAAAATTCTCAACGAATCTCGAATGAATACTATTTAAAAACGCCATCGTTCTTACCATTAAGATCCTAGCAGATTATTATCCAATCTTGAAAAGATCATAGACAGTATAATCTCAGTAAGATCTTAGAAAAATCTTGTCAGATCTTAGAACTTTCGAATCTCACGATCTTAGTACGATTCGACTACGTTTCTGACTAAGGTGCTAGTTTAAGTCACATTTCAGTCTTTAGACTTGTAGAGCGCGGTTGGATAGCATGATAAATGAGCAACTTCCTATCATTGTATCTGTGGGTTTTTTCCCTTTCTTTCCTTTTACACCCTTTGTTGTAGTTTATGTTTTTTTATTTTCATTAGCTAGACAAGACGATAATAATGGGGCTTTGCTCTCTTTTGACCTGTCTCAGTTATAACTACTTCTTTGATAAATAAAGAAAAAAAAACAAAGCGTCATAACAGAATGAACATTATTTACACTGACAAAGAAGAGGAAATGCGTTTCTGCCCCCCTCCCTCAAAATGGTACTTAATGACGAGTAAATAAATTAGAGACATGATAACCGATGTATTTTTGCTTATCATGGAGACAGGCAAAGCTTAAGCGCTAAGGATTAGACTAAAATAGATTTTTAGACATAAAAGTTCAGCAGCAAGCAATGTATCAGCAATATCACAAATTGGTGGTGCTGCGCTAGGCTGACTAGAAAGAAAGCAAGCGTGAACTGAAGTGAAGTGCGTTTTTAGACTGAAGTGAAATGAGTTTAGACTGAAGTGAGTGAAATGAAGTGAAGCAGTGAAGTGGTGCTTTTACCCCCTTGCTTAATGCGCACAGAAAAAATGTCAGCTTCATTTGTCGTCACTCGTGAGGTCAATGCCATTCGCCCGCCTTAAGAGATCATTCCAATTTTCTTCGGCACCTAAGTGTATAACATGTTTTTTGATTTTCGAATCATATTCAACTTTTTCTATCATGATCCCCGTCCCAGGCGATAATAATATTTCTTCTTCATCTGGGTATTCTGACAATGACGAGATTTCCACACATTGGCAAATTGGATTTGAAGGAATGCGAATTTGAAATAAAGTGTTTCCATCGTAAAATAACGCAATCTCTTTGTTTTTTGTTGTGCTTGAAAAGCCCTCCCACAAAACTCGTAATCCAACATTTTTTTTGTAATCACGAATCATTTCCTCTGTCAAGTTGCCGCTTCGAAAAACAGTAACGTTTTTTTGTTTAGGAGCTTCTTCATGACAAAGATATTGAAATAACATGCAACAATACGGTCCCAATGTGCGCGCATAACTCTCATCTTTCTGTGACACAAACGCATAGTTGCCTTTGAAGACGTCTTCAATTCCAGCTTCTGTCATGATTTTGTTGATCAGTTTGTACAAAAAACTTTCAATCGTATACAATTTGACGCAACATCCAAGAATTTCTTTTTCTTCTTTCCCTTTCACCTTTCTCAATTCAATCGCAATTCGTTCAGCTTGGGTTTTTCTCCCCAACTTTTCTCCTTCTGCTTCAATACCGCGTGCTGCCTTTTCAACCCACTCGTCTGAGATTTTTACATCCCAAAGTCCTGCGTTCGCGAGAAACGTAGCCATGAAGTTCCCTCTGAATGATTTTGCAGTCAATGCGGATTGTTGATTCGTAAACCTTTCTCTGACATATTTGTCGTCTGACATGTTCGTCACTCTTTTGATCGGTGTTTGTTTGTTGGAATCTTGTTTGTTGATTTGAACTTGATGTTTCAAATCAATCCAAAAGTCGTCCAATTCAACTTGATTCTTTTTTTGTTCAAACGCACTTTCGATCATGCAATTTTCAATGTCTTCATATCTTTTCCATCCCTCTGTCTCGATGTTTTCCCACGGATCGGCGTTTGATTTCCACATCCAAATTGTTCGTTGTTGTTTCGACGACGATGAAATCGTCGGGCAAGCCATGTTTGTAGATAATGAGTTTGTCGAGTCTATCTTTGTAGAAAAAAACACCATTCTAAAAAGAAACAAAATCACCTAAAAAATAATAGCTTAAAAAAGTGGAAAAAGTTTCGAAAATGGCGTTTGAACAGAAAAAGAATAAATATTCTTTTTCAACAAAGTCTCAGCGGTCAATTGATTCACTATTCGCCGATAATTTGACTGGTTCCTATATATTCACCGATGTTATGATCGCAAAGTCTCAGCTAAGTCACATTTACGAGAGTGGAAATCATTTTTTGAAGGGGCCTACAAATATGAAAGTGAGTGCGAGAAAAACCTGTACAGCTACGGTTACAAAATCAAAAACAGTATCTGAAATTATTTCAGCCGAGTTAAGTATATTTCTCCATTTTCTGATCAAATATTTGGTTTTAAAGTAGATTACACATGCGAACACCTACAGTCAACTGTCCTCCACAAAATCCCTGCATCTAGGGTATTTCCATAATACATCACTTATTCTTTGTATCCATACTCTATGTTTACTATAATGAATTTTCTATGAAT